ACTCTGAATAAGTCAACAAAATATATTAAAACTTAAAAAGGGATCAACAGAGCAATACTTTACAGGTTGAAGTTTATAGAAGAAAATTGCATTAAGAACTTAGCAAAAATTTTGTATTTAATGTCATAAACAAGATATAAATATGTTGTGTATTTTAAAAGAATTAGCAGCGAATGTAAGGTGCTTCTTTTATGCTGTTACAAATTAGATTTTCCTTTCTTCGCTTGGCAAGACAGATTGAACAATAAATACTCTAAGAGAGCGAATCATTGAACACCAAGGCCATGTTTTTGAAAACTAAGTATGAGAAGAATAGAGATGTACGCTTGCATTCTGAGGCAATTGTCATTGAAATCCTGTTACACTATTCAGAACAGAGGCCCAAAGTCAAGGTCTGCTTACCCAGCATTCACTGATTTTAATAGGCTTAGCCTTGGACATCTATAAAAGACTTATTTTTGCAAAATCTAATTTTCTAACAAAGATAAAGTTCTTCGTTTCTTTAAAGTTGGCAGAAAATGAGGACTAATTTTGCTATTGAAGTAGCCATAAGACACTTCACTTGCGTTCATTAGTTACTGGCCACATGTTCAAGGCTAGATCACCACTGACCGGTTACTCTCCTACACTGAGAAAAAGTGTCACTCATATACTTCTAATACCCTTTCAAACAAGACATTAGAAGTTTGTGTGAATGTAAAACGTTACTGTTTTTTGGACTATGGGAGGAGGGCGTGAGTGAACACAGCGCTGGGCAAAAGTAGGTTTACAATTGTGAGTACATGAAACCGAGTGTATTCTTGTACTGTTATTTAATAATTATTGTATTATTTTCCATACAAACAACTGAAAACTTACTTTTGCCCACCCCTGCATAGTACACAATATAGTAAAAATGCAACACATATAATACATAATTGATAAAATATATCAAATACAATTATTTTAAATACTGCTAAACTTATAGAAAACCAGTTAGAACTATTATCCATGTTCTTAAGTATGTCTGTCCAAATAAAAGGTAAAGTTTTATTTATGGCCAAGAAATATTTTAAGTTCTGTTTTTTGTTTTTAGGGAGAGAGGAAGGGAAAGGAAGAGAGAGATAGAAACATTGATGAGAGAGAACATTGACCGGCAGCCTCCTGCATACCCCCCACTGGGAATTTGGCTCACAACCTGGGCATGTGCCCTGACTGGGAACTGAACTGGCAGCCTCTTAGTGCACGGGTCGATGCTCAACCACTGAGCCACACTGGCCGGATTCAAGTTCTTTTAAATTTTATTCTGGAGTTCTTGTATGAAACAATATGTGGCTACTAATTTATATCATTATTTCAGCAATTAAATAAAATCTCTTGAATTTTGACTTCTTGCGCTGGACTTTCAAATACAGATTGTGACTTACAGAAAACTAATTGCATTTTTAAAATGTTTATAATATACATCGACAGATGGACATTTATAATTTGTTGAACTTGATTGAGTCAGAGTGCCACATTTTTTTTTTTCCAGGTCTTTATGTGAATGAAAAATACAGTTTCATAATCCAGAGTAATATTGACTGAGAATAATTTTCCAAGGAATTCGGTCATTCAGATATTTTTTTCATCATGTAAGGACCATGTTTTATCCCTTAAGGACTACGGTGTAAGAAAAACAGGGGACTCTGAAAAGACTGACTGAGGCCAGAGAAAGGCACCAGCAGTATAACCACATGATCTCTTTATAATATAAAACAGAAGATCTCCTACTAATAATTTTTAACTTGTCTAATGCTTTTTACCCAGTTGTAGCCAGAATAGATAATTAAAAACATTTCCCTAAATAAACCCTGCTTAAGCCCAGCAGGTGTGGCTCGGTGGCTGAGCATCCACCCAAGCACCAAGAGGTCGCCAGTTTGATTCCAGATGGGGCCTGAACCGATCCATGTTTGTCTCTCACAGATGTTTCTATCTCTCTCCCTCTTTCCTCCTCTCTCTCTAAAAGTCAATAAAAACATATTTTTTAAAAATTAACTCTACTTAAAATTTGAGGAGAGGGAGGAAGAGAGAGAGAGAGAATGTATGTGTGTAGATATAATGAAAGTAGCAAAGGAAGAAAGTGTATTCAGGAAATGACACAGATTTGTTTTAATGTGTCCACTATTCTGCATTAGTTTTTTTATTCCATCATCTGCAGAATACCCAGTTATTTCAGTATTGTTTATCCTGAGTTTTGCTAATAGCATAGAAATGGAGAAATGTTGGTTCACTTTGTAATTCTGAACTAAGGTAGTCTTTAATTTTACAAGTTTAAGAAGACAAAGATCTGCTCCTTTCAGGATACTAAAATAATATATGTTTATTAGTCAAATGTAAATTTATCACCTGGATTAGAAAAATCTAGCCAAATAACCAAGAAGCATCTAAAATATACTCATACTTGTTTGTTTACTTTGATGCTTTACATATTTTCTTTTATATTTATAGTTGCTTTCAATGTAGCTGGGGAAAAATTTTTCCTAGTGCAGCAATACATTTTACTTTGTAGTTTTGGTGTTTTAAGAAATCTGAATGCCATGATTGAATGAATGACTCTTGCTCTAAAATTCTCTGGTTAAAGACTAGAGATCCATACTCTCTTCATAGGATAAATCCCCTGAAATTGTTAAAGACCACGTTCATTTTTGAAAGACAGCGACAACCAAGCTGTCCTTGAAGGAGGTTGCATTCATGTTGTGCTCCCATGGCCAACTTTGAATTTTGATTTCTTGCTCCATACGTTCAAATAAAGATTGTGACTAACAGAATAAAGATTATATGCAAAGCCTTTATAATATCCAATGACAAATGGAAGTACTTATATCCTCACTTGTTGCCACATACTATTATCAAGTTGATAAACCTTGTGATAGGTATACAATACCATTTCTTTCATTCTGAGTAAAGTTTAAAATAAATTCAAGAGCCTATTCTGCAAAATTTTATGTACTTTGCTCATTTGCAGATGATTGAATTTTGAGAAAAAGATTTTAAATCTACTTCACCAATGTCCTATCTGAAAAAGAGAATTTTTAAATGTATAAACTGCAAATTTTAAAACATATTACCAATATAGTAAGAATATTTCAGAGCTTGACTTTTTCCCCAAGTATATACAAGTATAATTCACAACAAGGTATCAGAGTCTAATCTTTAGTAGCTGTTATCAAATAAAACTTAAAAAAAAAATAGCCTTGAAAAAAACAAAACTTTATTAAAAATAATTAGATATCAGTTGTTGCTTAGTGTGAATTAAATAGCGAAGGAAATTGAAGAGATAGAATAGACTGGATATTAATGAACTCTATCTGGATCATAAATAAACATGATCATTTGTTCAGTGGAATATTACTATTAAATTTATAAATGTTTGAAGAAAAGTATAATGTCCCTTATTTTCTGTGATGTTTTTGTATATTACTATAAATATTCATGAATAGTGAATATCTGTTCAGGTTACTCATAAATAAAAATTTTTATATAATTGGTCACTTAGTGTTCATTGGATCATGCTTTTGCATTTGAAATCACTGGTATCTCAGATGCACTATGAATCTGACCCAGCTCATGAATATTCACACACACACTGATCCTTCTGGAAGTAATCACATCTATAAAGATGGAAATCTTGTTAGTTTTCAATAATGAGAAATGCATTAGGATGCTGGTCCCAGAACAATGTTACAATACCCTGTTTTCATTTTTTTGTAAAAGATAAACTTTAATATACAAGCACATGTTATACATCTTTTTTGATAGAAGCTCTTTATTCTTTTACTTTAAAAAAATCTTGTGCATGGTTAACCATTGGTGCATCTGTTTCCTTTATTCTCTGTAGCAGCCAAAAAGAAAAGAAGTTAAACAATATCTCCAGTTCTTATCCCAAGCTAATTTCCACTGTTTAGGCTTGGTCATAGATTCTAAGTACAGAGAGGCCCAATATTGCTGGGGGCATATTTTCACCCCTCCTCCCCCCAAAGATATGAGGTTATCAATCATCTTTTGTGTAAAGGGAAAATAATGTTCTAAGCCAATTAAATATTTAGTATGTTAGACATGGGAGGCTGTGATTACAGAGGCCCATATTGACAAATTATATGCTATTTTAACCCTTGTTATATGCCACATCACAGTGCTTCTCTTCCGTTGTAATGAATGGCATTTTTTACTCAGCAGTTACCAGTAGGTATCAAAATCAATGACCTCATCCTTATTAGCACCATACTCTAATTATTAATTGAGCTAATTAGAAAAAGAGAAAACTGCTATTCATAGTGGTGTAATAAAGTTTGAGCTACTTTACATTTCTAACACTGATATTGTCAAGGCTCTGAACCAATGTTTTGTCAAGATGAATACATTTTTTGTTGTTGTGTAAATGAACAAAAATCTGCAGCTGTGATCAATGACAAGCACCAGATTATGTTAGTGTATCACAGAGACTCATCAATAATTGAGGGAGGTGGTCATCAAATTGTGCCCCGAGGTGTCCTGTAGGTTTCTTCAGAGCTGCCTGAAGAGAGGAATGTCTCCCCCACCTTTTCTCCCGAGAGAGCTGGAGAGCTCGGCTGTTGTCTGTTTTACGTGTTAGAGTTGTTCTCAGCAGGAAGCAGTTTTGCCCTCCAGGGGTTGTCTGTTGCTGTCTGGAGACAGTTTTGCTTGTCACAACAAGGGGGATGGTACTGGCATCTAGTGGGCAGAGGCCAGAGATACTGCTGAGTGTTCTACAAAGTACAGGATGCTCCCACACAAAGAACTACCCAGCCCCAAATGTCAAAAAGGCCACCATCCTATAAAAATTTGTTTGAAGAAATAATTCCATGTCTGAACATTTTGATAGCTACTGGATTAGAGTTCTTTCAGAGGTAAAGCAATGAAAATGTATAACGTTATTTTGCAAATCAATGGAGACTGATTCAATTATTTATTATACATTTATATTAATTTCTTTTTCTTTTTTTTTTGTTTTGTTTTCTTAGCAACAATTGTGTTAAATGAACTCAACTGGACAAGTGCCTTAGATGAAGTTTTCAAAAAAAATCGAGATGAAGATCCTTCATTGTTGTGGCAGGTGTTTGGCAGTGCCACGGGCCTCGCCCGATATTACCCAGGTAAGTGCTTAGCGACTCAGTGGGCATCAGACAAAATTGTGAGTACCAGACTTAATGTTTCTTGAGAATTCTGTTACCTTCTCCTACAATGAAAGAAGAAAAGACTATTTCTTCTTAAATGACTCTATATCTACCCAAATCACCTGAAACCCAGACACCTAGCAACTGAGGTGTTGGCACCTGGTCAGTCCATGTGTCTGTGAGACCATGAGCAGGTATCAGTGTACCTGGATCAGGAGGTTACCTTGGGTCCCAAATAGTTCTGAGATAAAGATCCAACTGCACAGCATGGACCAAGTTGTGAGTCACATTGACAATTTTATAGGATTTTCAGAAACTAATTGAAATAGTTCTCTCCAAATTTTAAATTTGTGCTTCTATATAAAAAGTGTTGATGCTTTTTTTTAATCATAAACATGGATTTGTTGAGCCAGGCCAGTGTGGCTCAGTGGTTGAGCATTGACCCATGCACCAAGAGGTCACCCATTTGATTCCCAGTCAGGGCACATGTCCAGGTTGTGGGCCAAATCCCCAGTGTGGGGTATGCAGGAGATAGCCAGTCAATGTTCTCTCTCATCGATGTTTCTATCTCTCTCTCTCTCTCCCTTCCTCTCTCTAAAATCAGTAAAGAAAATAAATAAATAAATAAATAAATGTGGATTTGTTGAAATGAGTATGACAGGAAATAATATGACATTTCAGTGAAAGTTGAGCTTTCTTATGTATTGGTTTAGATTAATTTTGAGGGCATCTCAACAATGAAGATGGATATATATATATATATATTTTTTTTAATCCTCACCCAAGGATATTTTTCCATTGATTTTTAGGGAGAGTGGAAAAGAGGGAGCGAGGGAGAGAGTGAGAGAAACATCAGTATGAGAGAAACACATCAATTGGTTGCCTCCCACAGAACCTGACTAGGGTGGGGGATTGAACCTACAATCTAGGTTCCTGCCCTTGACCAGAATTGAACCCTTCGTTCCATGGGTCCACGCTCTAACCGTTGAGCCAAAACAACAGGGCAAAGATGGATATATTTTATAAATTCAAATGAATAAACTCTTTTGTGATATTTTTTATATTTTCTCATAAAGGAGGGTGAGGAGAAATAAATCTATAACAAAAATAAAAATTTAAGCACTAGTAAATCCTGAGAACTTGTTGAAAGGACTTTTAGTGAAATGTCTGTTTCTCCACTTTTAAGAACCAGCTGACAAGCACAAATGCATTTTCTTTCTCAAAGACAGGGCCCGAGTTATGGGATACATTAAGTAATTTAACCTGACATAGAATAGAGGAGAATTCTTCCTGAGACTTGACTTTTCTTACATGTGTTTAATAAATAGAATTAGTTACAATAAAAAAATCGCAACAGTGAACATGGGTTGAAATAGAAATTAGGTAATAACTAGTTTGGTATGGCAGTAACTCGGTACTGGAGGGAAACCGATGATGCTGGGAAAGAGGGAGAATTCCGGATCGGAAGAGAAATAGGAAGGGGAGGAAGGGGGAGACTGCAGAATCGCAGGGCGGGGAACACTGGGGTCGAGGGCCGGAAGTAAAGAGGGGTTGTGTTACAAGTGCTCCCCCCGCAAAAAAATAAAAATTTTATTTATTTATTTAAATTTTTAATTTTTTTTATTAATTTATTTTTGTTACAGAAGTTTCTCTTTTTTCCCCCATGGACACCCTCCTCCCAATCCCTGGCCTCTCGCCAAGTTACTTTTCAAAGATGGCTCTTTTTACTAATAGCAGTGAACTTTGAAACTTACTATTCAATGATTTTGTTTTAAATGCTAATTGAGGGTGATGGCTCTAACTTTTTAAAATCCTATTCATATATTTTCAAATGTGTTGCCATTTGTCCGCTTTGTTTTGGAAAAGATCTTCAAATGTGTAATTTAGCTGGGTTAAGGAGGTGCCCCCAGAACATGAGCTGTGGAAGCAACCTGGTATTGTCCTGAAAGACCTAGTTTTTGAGCAGCGGTTAGACAGACAGACTGAGTCACTGAATGACTGACTGAAAGGCTGAGTTCACTTACCTATTAGAAGAGGTTATTTAAAATGGCCTTCTTGACTGTTGTGGAATACACTCAATGTAATTTCAATTTTAGCAAATCTGTTATTTTTATTTTTTATTGTATTTGATTTAGAGAAAATTGTGCATAATATATACAACTCATACACTGGCGATACCATCACCATAATCAATGCCATAAACCCATCTATCATTTTCTCAATGTTTCCTCCCACCCTTTTATTTATTATATTTTTTATGTTGAGAACACTTAAGATCTACCCTCTTAGAAAAATTTTAAGTGTACAATACAGTATTGCTCCTACATGTACTGTGCTATTCAGAAGATCTCTAGAAATTATTCATCTTATACAGGGGAAAGTTTGTACCCTTTGACCCTGTCTCACACTTCTCCTAGCCCCTGCCAACCACCATTCCACTTTCTAAATGATGTCATGTAGGATGTGTCCTTCACACTGTGTCTTGCTTATTTCACTTAGTGTAATGTCTTCCAGGTTCATCCACGTTGTCACAAATGGCAGGATTTTCTTCCTTTTTTTTAAGGCTGAAAGAATTGCTCTTTATGATAATGATATAAACCGAGTCTCTTTAGCAAAGATATTGAGAAGAATTTAAAAGTGGAATGCTGTATTTCTGTTTATGCGGAGACATGTTTTCAACACATTTAATATTTTTTTCAAGGTTAAAGACTTGTAAATGAAGTGATTTTAAAGTTTCTCATATTTTCCTCTTTGATTTTAGCCTTACCATTTTGATACAGGCCAAAATAATGTAGAGTGGCTTATCTGTGATTACTGTCTGTGAAAGCAAATGTCAGAAATAGCCTTTAAATATTGATAATTATCTTCAATATAAGTGAAAATAGAACATGTTACTTTCATTTGATTGGATTTTCACATTTTAAGTCTTGGACCTCAGGCAAGGATCTCCCTACTGGCTGTGAGAAACTGGGTGTCTCCTAACTCTTCTGTGTCTTCATCATCACATCTGAAGAGTATGACCCCTAGGTGCTCAGTTTATTCCCTCAGGGTTTTTGTGATTGATCAGGTAACATAATGAAAAGAACTTTGAAAACATGAAACAGTAGGCGTTTTTATAAGAGGGAATATCCACTGGAATAATTTTGCTTAAATCCATTTTTCTCTTCATGTGAGAAATTAAAGAACATAATTGAGGCTCCAATCAGTTGACAAGGACGGTGAGATGGAACTGTGGAGGAGTTTGACACAGATGATCACGCAGTCGTATCTAGCAGTAACACTGCAATGGAGTTGGTCAGAAGATACAGGTTTTAGCCTCTGGCCTTCCTTAAGTCACTTCTGTGCAGGGTTGAAAGATAATACATAGGATGCCAAGTTAAATTTAAATTTCAGATATACAACAAGGCATTTTTTAGTATTAGTGTGCAATATATGGGAAATGTTTACACTAAAAAAGTGTTTATTTTTTATTAAAATTTAAATTGAACTGGGTGCTCTGTATTTCTTTTTGCGAAATCTGTCAAAACCTACCTCTCAGGCTCTTTCTCCATTTTGTTAATATGGGAAAATCATAATCTATTTGATATATTAATTCACATGTAGAATTTTATAACTTTTTAAAATTCTGTAAACAACCTTACATTTTTTTTTTAACTGCAGTTATTGAAAATAAAGTGTTTTAGAGAAACGAGAATAGTCTAACTCACAAAAGAGTCTAAAAAATATTCTTGGTCAGTGTTAAGATGTTCCTTTGAGCAGGGCTACATGGTGTCAGTGGCTTAAGCAAATATATACCCAATAGCCAGGGTGTAATCCCACTTCAGCACTTGATGTGGTGGTAACCCTTGGAAAACACAAACTTCAGCTGTGAAACAAGGAGGATACTAATGGTTAAACTGTGAAATTTTAAGAAAAGAATTAAATGTGCTTCTTGGCACATTGCCTACATGTCAGAGAAAGTCAGGGATGGTCGGCCACTCTCATGCTTTCCACTTGTCAGGTTATTTAAACCACACGAAGACACCGTTGACTCCGAGCGAGGAGATCTGGGAGCTGGCGTGATATAGGGGCAGTTGCAGAGCTGATTCTGAACAGTAGTTGGTTCAGTAATAAGTGGGGATTTGAACTCTAACACCCATGTTTGAAATGAGCATCAATCAATTGCCCATGTTCTTATTTGGTTGTTATGTATGGAAATAAGCTAGAAACATGGTTTCTGTATGTCTTTTTTCTTTCTCCCCTCTTCTTCCTCCTCCTTTGTATCATCCTTCTCCTCCTCCAGCCCCTTCTTACTCATGCTGTTCTCCAACTTAGAAGGTAGGTGGGCTGTGTGGTAATGAAAGAGTCATTATGCTGGGGGAAGAGGCGGTCGTGCACTGAACTGCCACCAGTGTAGTTATGCACTTTGCCTGTCATGTCACATCGCTGAACCTATTTCTTCACCAGCAGCTTGGGAGAATCGAAGGAGGTTTCCAGGGCAGAAACTAACAGTATCTACTTCATCTTCGGGGCCTGTAGGCTTGTCCACAGTGTGTCTTGTAGGGTAGCTAGAGTGGTGGCCCTAGTCACACAGCCGGCTTCATGGCACAGCTGAGGCTGGAACCCATGTGTAATGACATCGTCGTCGTGTGTGTTTGTGACTGGAAAGGTGCTTTCTTTGATGAGGCTTTCCTTTGGAGCCTCTTAATTGATGTATATAAATTAACTTTAAAGCTATTAAACCCGCTTTCAAGAGTGATCAGCTTTGTGAATTTTACCCATCATGAAAACTGCAGGTATAAGCAACTCATTTCACCCAGAATTGTACCAATTACTGCAGTAATTGGGATTGTAAAGTAGGATTTAGTGGCTCATTGAAATGCCATTGTAGGCAGGACTTATTCTTTTAAAGTAATTAGTTGCATTTATAAAAAAAGGGAAAAAAAAAAACCTAAAAATTATCTTCGTATGACATTTTCTTAATGTCTTATTAATCATTT